TACTACTATATATATATATAATAATAATAATAATAATAATAATAATAATAATAATAATAATAATAATAATAATAATAATAATAATAATAATAATAATAATATATATATATATATATATATATATATATATATATATATATATATATATATATTTCATGGATCATTTCCAGTTTCTCGTGAAAAATCGCCCTAAGCGAAAGGTATTTAATGAAGTCTGCCAAAATGATGATTCTACCTTAAAGTGAGATAATGAAACAGTTGTGAAATTTGTGTTTTTCAGTGTTGCAGAAGGTTACGTTTAAATATCGTCTCTGACTGATATCTTCCAAGCGATGTTGTTGATGTAATAGGAAAGAGTAAGAAGAGTACAATCGTGAGTGAATTTGTGCAGAAGTCAAATGGTACTTCGATTTCAGGAATTTAACTGTAAGCGATATTGCATCGCCCACAAAAAAGTGATTTTTGACAAGACAAGACAAGAAAGTGTTTTTGACAAGACAAGAAACAAAAAAGTGATTTTTGACAAGATCACAAACGATATTGATGATCATCGTGGGCTGGCTGTTTCTGTACGTGATATTAGCGTTGATGTTGACCGGTCACTGCTTTTTGGGTTATTTTGGAGCAAAAAAAGAAGTTTAAGACAGGAGAAAGTGAAATCATCCTACATTAATATCTTTTTTCACGAAAAAGTTGTGCTCCTCTTTATTTAAAATTTCTCCTTAAGATAGAGATGAATCTGAAGGTAATGAATTCTCTGGTACTTTTCGCTCCTACGCCGCAAATCTTTGAAAATTTGACAAAGCAACAAAAAAAAATTCCGCAAAAAAAAACTTCCAAGTCAGTTATATACGAGTAATTCTACCATGTAATTAAATCGAAAATCTATCTACTTGAATGATTCTAATATTGTTGTATGGTGTGCGCTTTCTGATACAATTAAATATACTACACATGTTTAACTCCAAACTACTTGAATCTGCAAACTTTAGTTCGAAATTAACAAGATTAAAACGAGTTGTGAATTGGTGCTGAAGTAAAAGAACAGTTTGACAACAAATACTAAAAGTGTCACGAATAACCAAATAAATTTTAACGATAATGTTATGCGGTTTGACAGTTAATAATGAAAGTGTAGGAATTGATCACACTACTAAAGAAAAAACAAGAAAATACTCTGCACTTCCTCTTCCCATTCGTTTGTTCCTACAGAAACATTTTGAGGTAGTAAAGAGTTGGACTGATAAGATAAACAAGTATGAGCATGAATCAGGTCAAGAACTGGTTATGTTATGTTAAAAGTGATACATAAAGTTGTTTTGACTCCAGACTATATCACAGTGTAAAGAGAAGCAGTGTTTGCGAAACCTGTTCTCAAAATATGCACTTTTTATTCTCTTATGCTACCTTTTTCATACACATTTATCGCTTGACTGATAATTATGTCATCTGATGGCAGTCTCATCAGCTACCAATGGGGATAACTATACATAAATTCTTTTTCATCTGTTTCCTACCTTCTCATGTCACAACCACTAATTACTCTCTTTTGTTACTTTTAAACTATTCCTTGGACTTTTATTAGACAAGACCTTTTATTTATTCTGCTGGAACGTTATGTATACAGTTCAAAGTTACCGTAAATTTTACATACTTCCAATTATTCAGTACTGATTGAATATTTTGCCGGAGGTGTGTCAAAGATCGATGGTGATGTTAGGAATAGCATGAGATTTTAAACAGTCACTCAACCAGTCATGATGGTGATGATTTGTCAAGGATGTGAGATGTGTGCGATGCTTTGCGAAAGGTTTAGCAACAGGAAATGTTGAATGGAGTCGTTCGTATCAAATCCCCAAATGAGCAGTCAGGCATTCGGAAAGATGAAGAGAAATTGGAAGAAGGCTAGTTTAATGCATATTTGATAGTGGTGTATTGAGTAGGTATAGGAACTGGCTTGTTTACGTTCAGTCACGTTTTCCGATTTTTTCAAGTTTGAGAATTTATAAACTTAATAATCTGGAATTTCAAATGAGGATTTAAAAATTTCAAGTTGAATATCAATGAAAGCTTTGGATATTATCGATCTCATTCTTTCATTTCCAGTTTGAAGCTGTTTCAGTCAGGAACTGTTTCAATCGTGTCCAATTACCTTTCGACTCGACTTATCATTACCACTTTCATATTGAATACAACTCAGTTTAGGTAGGTTATATGAGTTGAACATGAACAATCCAGTAGGACTTTCGCTTCCATCATAGCTAGAGTGTTGATTCACTGACATTCTTTGCTATTTTGTTATTGCCATTAAAACTTCGCTTTCTAAACTCTTTCCATCGATGACGAAAGGGAAGCACTACTGCTATTTCCATTTTTTAAATTACATTCTTCACAGTGTGTATTTCTGGTTTTTTAAAATTTATTTTTAACATTATCTTTTGAAATATTTCGCTTAAATAGCACCCTTTACCAAAATTGTTTTTTTTTTTTTTTTTTCAAGATACAACACTCAGTTCCTCTTTTAGATTTCAGAACTATCTGAAAAGTGTGGTTTTAAGTTCGTATTATTTTCCACTTCGTATTATTTTGAATTCTAATTCCTCCAATAAACTAAATTTTAGGATAACTCGTGTTCATCATCTTCCGTCAAACACAGAACTTCTTTCCACCATTCCGATGAATTAAATCTATTAACGGAAAAATATGAAGTTGTCCACAATTTACTGTATGATAGCTGATTGCAGCTTTTCAAATGGCAGTCAATGAATGCATAGCAGTTAATTGAAATGATCAACAAAAAAATTCATGGTGTACCAATCAAAGAGTATTTCACAGACCTCGTGTCCAAAAAGGTCGAAGTTGAACCAAATAATCCAGCATTCCGATGCTTCAGTGACAAATTTCATGTTTATGTTCGTTTTTACATGAACTTTTCATTTCATTCTGAGTACTAATGTCCGCGTAACAAATGAAATGAGAAGTATGAAGAAGTCATCTTATCAATAATCATCTGTTGAATGCCTCACTTTCATGACACAAACATATTAGGAAGATATCTTGTAGTTGTAGGAGAAAGTGAGGTTCTCAGTTTAATTAAGAGGAAGATGAAAGGAGGAAAGAAATGAGACCAAATTCCTTTATTATCAACTACATGTAACTAATCAAAATCATCGCAGATGCCCAATGGTCATTTTACAGCTTGCTGCAAAATTCATGTTCATGCTCACTATGAGCTGTTGGATGATCATACTTGGCATTCTATTTCCATGGAGCATACTGATCGTTTGGATACCAATACTGTATTTTTTGACAACAATTTATGCTCTTCGACAAAAACAAGCCACCTGTTTATGGCCAGCTATTATACATTCGGTAATTTGAAATCATGCAATTCTAATAACTTCCAATGTCAATTTCAGATGGAATCTGTTTGTGAAATGGTTTACACTTTAGAAGGATAAATCAGATTTCGATTTTTGGTACAATGTTTGCTTTTTTTCCAGAAAGACAATAAGTTAAGAAAAGAGGATAAATTAAAAAATGATTTCATATTTTTAGGCCTTAGCAATATTAATCTGGTTATCTGGAACAATTGTCCTGTTTACAACAGCGCTATTTAGCACCCAAACGTTTCTGGATACATTTGGACAAGGTATGCCTTTGCATATGCCGTAGAAGATACCAGAAGCCAACAGCCAATAAGAGAATAAAGTGTTACTAAACATTTACATTGTCCCATTTCTTTTCTTCTTTCGATAATAAATAGATTATGCTATTGTATTATTACAGAAGTGACCCTCTGACATTTATAAAGCTTAACCATTTTCACCTAACCTTATTTAGTCCTGCTGCAATCGAATACGAATTCTACAGTAATATTCGGTCTTCACCTCTAAAAAACATCAAAAAAGCTTTTTTAAAACCGTTTAACCCCAATAAATTTTTCATGTTTTTATGAAAGCTGGAATAATGATAATTCAAAACTAGCAATTAGTTTATTCCAAATAAAATATGAGGGTAAAATTCAAGTGCCATTACAGCTCATCTTTTTAGAGCTTATCCTTTTTTGAGAGACTTTTTCAGGCCATCAGCAACAATTCATTACAAGATTTTTGGTAGTGTTAATGATCAAGACTGCAATAATACTGGTTGGTCTTTATCTCGCTTACCAACTTTTCGTATTCAACCAGTGCCGTAAATATTTCGACCATGTACGGAATGCCGACTTGCCGCGAGCTCTTCAGGAAGAAGCAACTGAATTGGAAGTGATCAAGAATAAATCGTGATTTTCGTGCAAAAGTAATTATAGATTGTCACTGTTAACCTATATCGCTTGAAATTCGCCAGAAAGTTGTTGATTTAATACCGAAGTTTTGGAGCCTCATTTAAGCTTTCAAGGTGAATAAAGAATTTTCAATTCGAAATTTTCTTTAAAGGGGATTACAAAATAAAAAAAGAAATCAAGAACAACGGTCAGTGAAGTATTAAAGACGAAGACTTCATAAGTCTCAAATTACATCTGGCTAAGAAATTCCGAAATTAAATCAGATGTGAACGCGGGAAGAGAACTGTAAGTGCAAACGGCAGCAATGTACTGACTATTCTCGTTCGGAAACATTGTTTAATTATGTTTCCCTAAAAACAGAAATGAATGAAAGAAGAACTGAAAGTGAGGAAAACAATACTTTATTGTTAAATATCATCAAGTATAAAAATAGCAATAAGATCCCAGTGTGATGAGGTTTATTAATTATGCATGATAAATTGAGCAAGGATAAAACCTCTGACGGCTAAGGGTTTGGATTCACGAAACATTTCCAGTCAGCAACAAATATAACG